TTCCCTATGACGAGATTGTAATCACCTCCGTGGTGGAATCTGCAGTGAGCTGCTAGGTAGTTGAAGGGGAGTTATCTTCAGGATGTACCCTGCTTCCAGTATATATGGAGAAACTTTGGGAAATGTCTCTAGCTTTTGGCACATTTGGATCCTGCATTTGGCCAAGTCTACATCTCGTGTTCCTGGACTTGAAGCAGTGGCTTGCTATAATGCCTGCTGATCTTGGGGTCTTGGGGTTGTTCCTGGACTGGAAGCAGTGGCCTGCTGTTTTGCCTGCTCATCTTGAAATCGTGCCATTTTACCTACCAACCTTGCATCCATCAGCCTCAGCAGCCAGCAGCTGCCTGAGTTAGACGATACCTCCAGCTCATGGAGCAAGAGGCAGAGCTGAAGCCAAAGGTCAAGGGGCCTTCACCCATCCCCTAGAGCTGGCACTCTGAATTCGTACTTCTAGACTTCTGAACTGTAAAAGAATAAATTGCTATTTGTTAAGTCATCTACTTGTGCTAAGTCTGTTATAGCAGCACTGAAGAACCAAGACAGAGTTTATTAGGTAAGTAAGTAACAGGTTACAATTCAGAATCAGAAGTGATTCAGGCTGCAGTTGTTTGGTCAGGACAGCCTCTTCTCAGTTGTGCTGCAGACACGCCTCTCTCTGGCCCTTGGCCTCTCAGCTCTGCAGTGCCTTGGCCTCTGCTCTACTTGGGCAGATGTTACAGAGCTCCTTTAGCTCTACCAATAAGTGCCCAGAGGAACCCTATTCCACAAGTAAGCCTCAGCTCCAAGGTGCTCAGCTCTACCACCGTGGATTGGCAAACCTGACTCTAGAAGGTACTCAGAGGCACCCTCCTCCACCAGCAAGCCCCTTGCCTGAAGGCATTTAGCTTTCTCTCTCCGTCGACTGGGTTTCATTGGTCTGGTTCTGCTGCCGCCACTTCTCTACCAGTACTCCTCTGCTGCCATCTCTTGCCGTCTTTCTGGTGTTACAGCTTTCTCTCCTGGGGCAAGGAGGTTCCCAGCGCAGAGACCACAGGTCCAAAGGCCATGGCTCTGGCTCCCATGTCTTCTTCTTGGTGGTAGTCAGGTCCCCACTTTGCTTTGGAATTGGCTCTCTTTTAAGCCTGATGGGATGGCAAAACTGACCAATCCCCTTGTTAGGGTTCCATGTACCATGCATGATTCCACCTACACAAGGGTGCCATGCACTTTACTTACATTATTAATAAGCTATCTGATCCCCTTGCTGGGCCATAAGCACCTTATTTGCATAGCCACACCCAGTCATTTGGTGGGTGTATTGTAAGACTATGGCCTGGAAGGGCCATGTTAAGTAATTCACTGCACTGCAACAATTTAGTGACATTGATTATTTTCTTTGAGTTGTGCAACCATTCTTATCCTCCTTTCTGAGATGTTCCTCTCAGATTAATACAAACTTTTTGCCCTCTAAGTTTCCTATCTAATTTATTGAGTTGCTGTTGTCAGTTTGATCCCACATAGATAGATCTTAAAAGAGGACAGTGCTTAAGGCCAGAGAGTCTTTACTAGGTAAGCTAGACTATTGCTTTGTGTTAGTCAGACTTCAGAGGATATTTTTGGTTTATGGTTTAAAAATTAGGGCAGTAGTTTCAGGAGTTTATCTAGCCTCCATTGCTTCAGAAAGTCTGGAATCCATGAGAATTTGAAATTCTGTTCTGCATTTTCCCCTTTTTGATCGAGATTGTCCTATAGAATTTTTTTTATCAAAATCGTCAGTGATACTAGTCAGACACCATCCACCTCTTCTGGTCTCATGGCAAAGGAAGCAGTTATTCATGGAAGCAATTAGCCACACATTCCACATCTACCTCCTTTTCCTAACTCTCCATCTTCCTCTGTTACTCCAGGTGGATAGAGACAAATTATTGTGCCTTGGATGGCTGTGGGCAAATTTTTAAGTTTTTTTTTTAATTGTGATTTGGTAAAAGATTACAGAGCAAATTAGTTTTCCATTCAACAATTTGTATCCATTCTGTTTAGTGATATTTATTGCAATCCCCACACTGTAACAGCATTCTTCCCACTTCCTCCCTGCACCCACCTCTTCCCTTTGTTCTTCCTTCCCGTCCCCTCCTGCCTTCCTAGCTCTGTCCCTGGGCAGATGCTGTCCTTTTGATTGCATGTGCTTGATTGTTCTAATGAGTGCATACTCTCCTGATATTAATGTTCACCTTATAGACTTGTCTGTTGTTTGGCTGCCAGTTGAGTTACGGGAAGTTAAGTTGAGCTCCTAGCCTGAAGAATGTCTTAGGGCCATAGTCTCGGGGGATCTGCCAGTCTTCATTCATCAGACCAATAAGCCTGGTCTTTTTTGATTTTGAGTTTTGTTTCCCAGTTTCACCCACTCTTTCTGGGACCTCTTATTGTGATCTTTTTCAGGGTGGTAGCAGTGGTGGTAGCCAGGCACCATCTAGTTCTTTTGGTCTCAAAGTGTTGGAGGCTGGGGTTCACATGGTCCATTAGTCCTTTGGACCAATTGTTTCCTGTGACATTGATTTTCTTCACTCTTCTTTGCTCCAGAGAGGAGAAACCAATAGTTGCACCTTATCTTTTAAGACCCCAGTCACTACTCACCAAAGTAGGATGTAGAACATTGTCTTTGTGGACTGTGTCATGCCAATTGACCTTAGTATCCCCTGAGACTATGGTCCTGAGCCTCCATACCCAGCGACTAATTCCCACAAGATGTGTGATTATAGCTAAGATATTTTAGTAACATTGTTCCCTGTATGTTCTACTATGGTCATGGATACTGTGGTAGTTAACATTGTTATTCAGCTTGGCTGGGCCTTGGCTTTGAGTGGCTTGGCAGCTGGTTCTAGTTACTCCCCATAATGAGATTGGATGTGGTATAATCAACTCCATGGTACAATCTGCTGTGAAGAGCTAATACGTTGCCTTTGGGGGTGTGGCCTGCTTCTAGTATATATGGGGAAGCTTTGGGAAAGGTCTCTAGCATTTTGACATGCATTAGATCCTGCATTTGTCTGAGTCTTCATCTCCAGTTCCTGGACTTGAACTAGAGGCCTGCCATGTTGCCTGCAGATCCTAAGATTGTGCCATTTTATCTGCCAACCTTGGGTCTGTCAGCCTCAACAGCTAGGAATTGCCTGGGTTAGGAGACCCAGCTCCAGTGGGCTTGGAATAAGAGGCAGAGCTGAAGCCCAAGGTCAAGGGGCCTTCACCCAGCTCCTAGAGTCAGCTCTCTGAATTTGGACTTCTAACCTCCTAAACTGTAAAAGAATAAATTCCTGTTCAATAAAGCCATCCATTTGTTACAGCAGCACTAGAGAACAAAGACATATATATTTGCAGCACATATAAATACATAGATAGAGATAGCTTCTGTCAAACCTATATATATATTTGTGAGTGTAGTCCCATTGGCCTTCCCACCCTAGCTCAGCTTAAATGTCTGTGTAGACATCTATTTCTAAATTACTGTTACTACTATTACTGCAGGATTGTGTGTGTAATAGTGTTCACCTTTGTTGCTTTCAACTCTTGTGCTCCTGCTTGTCTCTTCCACTGCCTAGCTCATTTAGTGCTGACCTTCCCCTTATTGTATATTACCTTTCCTTTCACCCAAGTTAATACATGCCTGCCTCTGTTGTTATTGTTGTTAGGTGCCATCAAGTTATCTCTGACTCATAGCAACCCCATGCACAGCAGAACAAAATATTGTCTGGTCCTGTGCCAGCCTCACGATCCTTGCTATACCTGAACCCATCGTTGCAGCCACTGTGTCAATCCATCTAGTTGAGGGCCTTCCCCTTCTTTGTTGACCCTCCACTTTACCAAGCATGATATCCTTCTCCAGGGAATGGTTCCTTCTGACAA